CTTCGTGTGCCCAACCTAAGCGGACCTTCCCCTCAGACCTCGTTTATCGGAACTTAAATATGCAATAGATATCATGTGCTTCTTTTCTGATTTTTTTTATCATTCTTTATGTTTTTTATTCAAAATGAAAAATCTAAAGGATAGTTGAACATGAAAAAAATGGGAAAACAAGACAAACATGTATTGAATAACTTTTCATTTTGTGTGTAAATATATAAATGATAATTATGAATCTCAGACTTTGAACTTTTATGATTTGACTTTGTTTAAAATTTACTATAGTAAGAAATGGGCTTATCTAAAGACTTACAAAAAGTTATGGAGGTTTATATTAATATAGTTGGTTTTCTGAGAGCAACCTCTACGACATCTTCCTATAACACATCTTAAATGACAGAAACTGCTTAAAGCTAAATACGTATTGATACAAAATAAAAAATTTACAACTACTTCCATTTTTTAGCTCGTTATAATTGCTTTACTTTCAGTGCTCTTTGCAACTAGATTAATATAGTTGTGTAAACACCACTCACTTATATTTAGCCTAAACAGTGAGGTCAATCAGATAAGAGCAACTCCACTGAGGATGTAATTAAAAAGAATGGCCATTAATAAAGTAAAAATAGTTTCATTGCAAATCTTCATTTCTTTTGTATTTGATAGTTGTTGAAGGTAAAAAACAGAAGAGAGAGAAAAAAAAACGTTTTTTGAGACAAAGGGTGGGGTTATTTCATTTCGTTCTACTTCCCATACTTTAGTAAAACTCCTTTAGGTTCCACTAAATTCTCATTTCATAATGGGCCTGCTCTGTGTGCTTGTTCTCCCCCTTACCCACGTTCGCTCTCCGCTTTCCTTTCGTACGATTCTGGTAAACCTTTTAATAAAGACTGGCCACAGGATATTTAGGGTGATTTTCCCTATAAAAAAAAAAAAATGAGGTCGTATATCTTAGATGTTAATATTCCCCACTTTATTCCAGTCACGTGACGTGGCAGCAGAGCTTGCCTCCTTTTTGACGATCCCGCTCTGATGCGCGTCATTTCCGCTAAAAACTAATAAAGAATGTAGCACACTGATGATCTGTCATTAAACAACCATATGATCAATATTTGAACTGTAATAAGGAAAACCAGATAATGATGATGGTGAATTTTATACTTTTTACCTTTTATACTTGTACTTTTTGGTAATGAAAATCTATGTGTTTTGGCGGCGTCCGTCCCCTTGGTCTTTGCGACAGAAGTGACTCTGTCTTTCCGCACAGATCATTATAGCTCACATACCGCCGTGTGGTGTGTGGGTGTATGTTGTGTGGTGTGTTTGACATATATCCTTTAGATGTCTGCAGAGTGAAATGATACATTAACGAACGCGCCTCATTAGTTGCGTTCATGGAAGTAGTTTTCGAACACGTGGATCGGAGAAGAGGGAGAGAGACGATAGAGAGAGAGAGGCGGAGATGAGATAAAGAGATAGAGAGAGAGAGAGAGAGAGATGAGTAGAGATAAGAAGAGAGGCAGATAGAGAGAGTGTCAAAAGAGAAAAAAAAATGAATTGGTAAGCCAACCTTCTTGTTATTTTCAGGCAACCCACCTTTATTTTTTCAATAACTAAGAATCATGCGATGAGCAACGCATAGTTACAACTTCTACCCTCTGTCTTTTGTTTCTATCTCTTACTTTCTCTATAATCTCTCTCAGCTCCCTCCCTTCGCCCTTCGCTTCCTTCCGAATTCAATACATCTTCCTAAATTTCACATCGAGACGGTATGAAATTGATTGAAGAGCTAATGCGGTGACACATGTTCCGTATTGATATAAGAGCGCATGAGGCAATTACCTTCCTTTTTGGGATTGGGAGTCTGCTCTACAGAATTTCTTAGACATAATACTTTGACAAATACAAGAAAAATAACCTTTCTTGTAGTAAAGCAAGAGCAGTCGAAATAATGAAGAATAGCATAAATGAAAAGAAAAGCGAATTAATCACAGAGGTTCATTCATGAAGAACGTTAGATACTAATAAGAAGAGTGTAAAGAAGCACAAATTTACGAGGGCGGAAGCAGGAAAAAGGTGCGGGTTGAGAGGAAGTGAACGAGAAAATATAATGAGATAAGACACAAGGCAGAGGGATAGTAGGGAGTTTCTAAACTATACTGAGACGCAGATGGTTGTTGATATTCAAGCCTGCATATTCTCGTCAGTTGCATGACTGCAAGAGCGAAGGCGTCCTCATATATTTTGTACCCACACTAACATAACCACACACTACCCACACACCACACACGACACCCACACACGCCAACACCACGCATATATATATATATATATATAATTATATCATATATATTTATATATATATTATACACACACACACACACACACACCACACATTATATATATATCTAATATATGTATCTATATATATATATATATAATATATATATTATATATAGATATATATATGTATTATACACATATACATGTATATATACTCTGT